ACAAAATAATAGGTTACATAATATTTACAATTTTTTTGGAGATTCGTACGTAAATAAAATCAATTACTTTTGATTAAACAATCTAATACGTTGTCAAAGAGGATTGCATGTAGCATTGCTTATATAAAATATCTGATTACTAATATAAAATCGAAAATACGCTATAACGAAATCCTTTGTCTAAATAGTTTTATTGTTTTAACACATTTCTCTTTACATAATCTCACCCAAATAAAAACTCCGAATCACGTAATATTATGTAAATTATCATATATGGTATATTCAACATTTGAATTTTTTACTCTTTCAGATTTTTTTATTATAGTATATTCGATAGCATTTCTTTGAAAAAAACACACAAAAGGTTATCGTATGAAGAAAGTGTTGACCTACAATAAAAATTTGATTTTGCAATTTTTTGCAGCTATGGTTAGATTTGTATAATAATCATATAATATTGATAATATAAAAAAAGGAGAAAAAGCAAGAAGACAATTAAATACTAATAAGACCACAATAAGTAGAAAAGATTTCGGCATACAATCGGAATACTGTAGGGATTCGCGATCTTTCCTCGTCAAATGGAATACTTCGATGCTTCCACGCATCGCATACAAAATAATTCTCCGGAATCTTCGGCACGCACTATTGCTTATTTTCTCTGTATTCGCAATTTCCAAGTGGAATTCTTTTTTTTTTTTTTTGCGGTAAAAATACGTTTTTCTATAGTTAATAACGGTATCACAATTAAATAAGGAAATTGATGTATGGCTTCGCGGAATTATTAATCGGAATTTATTTCGGAGTTATATTCGCATCAATTTTTAATACGTTAAAATTTAACCTTTTTTTGCACAAATGGTTTTTTTCTCACACAGTAAAAATCAAAAGATTGATGGAAGCATCTCCTGTATTCTCCGTCATTGATTTGCAATTCGACCTTTGATTTCGACATCGTACGTAAAAATCGACACAATCACTTTTATCTACTATATACCTTATATTTATTAGTTACCTTGCATAAATTAAAAAAAAAAAAAAAAATTTTTTTTGAAGTATTTTTAATTCAAAATAATAATATAAAATAAAAAACGGGAAAGCGCTTATCTATATTTCGTATAGAAGTAATTTATAATTAAAACGACGACGTTTATCATTTATAAGGAAATTAGTGATTGTTCATTGCCACTGATGGATAAACGTATATGCATTTTGTGTGCAATACTGTTACGTACTGACTTTTTGATGCAACTGGTTACTGTAGCAGATGTGATAAGTATATCCTACTGCGTATAAGTTTTCAAGCTTTGATTTTACCTTATCTTGCGACCGGAGTTTTTCCTTAAGATATCATCGGATTGATTTATACTATTTAGTATATATATAATGCAACTACAATAGATAAGTTTTGTGTAAATTTTAGTTGTGTTTAGGCCACGATATCTAAATGTGTTAATCCATGAAAGAAATATGATATAGTAGATTAACGGGTAAACATTATTTCGAACATTTCCTAGAATTTCTTGATTAAATATAATGATAAGGATTATTAACATGTAGGTTTCCCTTCCTATTTTCACCGTTTATAATAAAGAAAACCCGTTTTTTCCAAAAAATCCAAGTGGAATAATATGCATTGACTAATGTAACATAAACTTTTAAGAATACTTGTTTAACCTAACCGCCATTCAATGATTGGAACGCTGTTAGATAAAGTTGTTTAGCTTAAGATACGGTACGAGCAAAAAGATTTAGAATAAACGTGTGTATACGACATAACAATATTGAAACATTACATATTATGAAATTTAAAAATTCTATAGAATAAATTTGTGTCTAACGAGATTTTTTAATAAAATAAGTAATCACAGTATATTAAATTCCGAGTTCAATGTATCTGGGAATAAGCCTTTTAGAAGACATATTGTACTGGGGTATCGTATTATCAAATCAATTTGCCAGAAAATTTTTCAAGATTTAATGTAGATCATAAATTATTATTTCGCCCGAAGAAATATAGAAGAGCATTTTTGTAGGGATTTATTAGCATTCATGTTCGTAATAATTATTTAAAGCGCGTAGAAAAAAAATTAATTCTAGAATTAATAGAATACGATTGACGATTCTGTACAGTATCGACTTGAAATCATTATCGAAAGTTCTAAAAATTATCATCGCACTTAATTTCTATTTTTCATTGTGTAATGCATCTTTATCTTCATGCATATCACTTATTACTTTACGAAAATTTCTTCTGGAAGTCCCAAATTCCTTTTTTGACCATCAACATATTTTCCGCTTATTTGATGAGGACAGAACATCGGAGAAATGCGAATACGGCGAAATAACAAGCAATTTGCCGGGGAAATTTCTATACATGCTCAGAAACAAAATATACAAAACATACCGATTTGACAAGAAAATCGGAGTATAGGAGGTAAAGGTTTTTATGGCATGCGTTGAAATTCCTTTATTCTACAATAAAATTCATAGGTTGATTACTTAAAGCATGTTTCCCGCGTTGACTGGACTTTAACAATATTTAAAGTGCAGCTCCGGGAAGGTTAAGGAGTGGCGTCAAATGATTGTACATCGATTGAGTTTTTTAGACCAAAACTTCATTACCACTGTAGGAGTATCTTATGAAAAGTTCAAATATGTGACCGAGTATAAGTTAGGAGGCACGAAATCTAATCAAAATATTAAAATATTTCTTTATTAAAAAAAATGGGTAATGATTTTTCCTGATTGATGATTGTTAAATGTTTATATGTTTATGTACGCCCTTTCGTAGGAAAAGCATATAACACTGGTTTTTCACACGCACAATTGGCCACCTCAAAAAACCTCGTTGATAAGTTCCTTATCTTAAAAAAAAAAAAAATACAGTAAGTTAAAAAAACTTGTACATAGGAATATACGATTTTTATTTTATTTTATTTTATTTTATTTTATTTTATTACGATATGATATCGCTCTAAACCTCTTGGAAACTTGTAATCTCTGAAATCATACTAACCCAATGCGAAAACAAAGCGTATTAAAAATTTTTTCGATTAAAATAAAGAATCAAATACAATCATTATATAATATACAATATATCAATATACTGTATTATATAAGATCTAAAATGATAGGTATACAGTATTAATATATTATATACGATCTAACGGATTTTCTTTGTCTACTAACACACACTGTATGAATCATTGTTCAATGAAATTCCTGACTACTGATTTAACCGGAGTCATAATGTAACAAAATCCTTTGTCTAAAAGCTTGACCATGTAGTATTGTATTTCTCATGCAATGCAACCTCGGTAAAGTGTATATTTCAAGGCTTTTTTACTTCTTTTATTTTTTTATAGTTTATTGGTAATATTGTTTTAAAGAAAATAAAGGCATGTAAAATGATTGTTATTTGATTATTTGACTTGATTCAATTATTAAATTAATTTTTTTAAAAAAAATAATTTACACCTCATAACAGTTTATATTGTCATTAAACTTTGCTCAAGGTTTTTATTTATTTTTAATTTATTTACAATAAAAGATTTATTAAATTTTAATAAATTTATTATTATATTTATAGTGTCAACAATAATAATACTCATAGTTTTTTTTTTTTTTTGGAAAAAATTATAGTATAAAAAAAATTTATTATTATTATATTAAAATTAATCTTAATAAAAACAATTTTTTTTTTTGATATTTTATAACACTAAAATTATTTTTTTAAATAATAATCAGGTTATCTATGATTTTTATTTAAAAATATGAAATAAAATTCTTAATTATATATCAATATGTTTATATAATAATAATTTTAAGGAACTTGCAAATTTTTAAAAATTGAAATCAAAATAAATTATAATAGAAATTGATGTTTTGATTTATAATTAGCAAAAAAAAAATATTTTTTTTTTAATTATAAGCAATTCTTTTTATTCAAATAATAATAGATCATAAATTTATTTATTTTTTTAAAAATTTTTTTTTTGTTTTTTATATCATTAATTAAATTTTTTTTAAAAAAATAACAATTACTTACATTTCAATTAATTATCATTTATTTAATATAAAAAATCGAATATATCGTATTTAGAAATCATTTATTTATCAAGTATTGATACTCACCAATAAATCTTTATTCTAAATTCATAATAATAATAATAATAATAATATAAAAAATTTGATTATGACTTAATATAAAAAATTAATATAAAACTTTAATAATATAAAAATTGATCGTATAGATTTTTTTGTTATCGTTGATTCATCAAGCTATTATACTGAATATACACTGCATATAATCAAGAATGGGTTTTTTTATTTATAAATAAAAATGGTAAACCGATGTAATAAAAAAAACTTTTTTTTTAGATTGATTTTTTTAAAGTCTTATCTTATGAATATATATATTCATTTACATGCGGTATGCCATTATTATTTATTGATAAAGATTTTTATTACAGTAACAAGTTTCATACCGTTTTTTTTCAAGTTACAGTTTGACAAGTGACTAACCATTTTTGTCTAAATATTTTATGCAATTCACACGGTACTTTATTTCTTTTTGAATTCCACTGATTTAAAGGTATCACCGTGAATTGGTTATGGTTATCAAGTCCATTCATTGTCCTCGTATCTGTTTTAAAGGTGCATATTACTGTACTGCGTGAGTTATTACAGCCGCTTTGGCAAAGCAAAAAAGAATCTCTGCCTGTTTAACAAGTTATAACTTGTATCTTTGTGCGAGGATAATGATATCGCAAATCCGATATATTCCTAATCGAAGACCGTTAATTCATATGATGAGGATCAATCTTCTTTTTGATGGTGTAAGGGGAGTGTACGCGCAAATATTTGACAAACTTGTAAATAACATTATCCCAAAATATTCGTATAGGAAGTGCGCGCAGCGACCTCCTAAACATATAAAGCATGTATCGGAAATCCAAATTATCCTAACAAAAAAAAATTTTTTTTTGAAAAACAAAATGGTTCACTGCAATCGTACGTCAAGGACTATCACTTCTCAACCAAATTGTCAACGTCAATCTACTCGATCACATACATTAAAAAAGAAGAATGCTAGAACCAAAAATCCACAAATCAATATAATTGCCCAGCCATTGACACAAGAGCTGATCAGTGAGTTTTTCAACGGCTATTTACCTCACGATACCATCCAACCGTTTCCTGGTAATCTATGGAATTGATTTTGGATGTTATTGAAATTTTATTCTTTCATTTATTTTCGCTTTAAAAAATCCAATCCTCACATGTATCATAAATATACAAATGAATTCTGATGTATAATACACATACAAAGGAATTCTGTGTACACTACAAAAAAAAAAAAAAAAAAAATGTAAAAAAGGACTTTTGATATTTTTATTTAAAAAATAGTATTAGCTTTTATCTTGATTCAAAATTCTTTCATTTTTTTCTATGGGTCACCCAGAAATTCTCCTACCTCTGTATTTGTTAAAATATTGCTCATCATTGTATTCATTGTATACTGTTGTCGTTCCTCCGGTTTTCTATGCGAAAAGAAGAATTTCTTTAGTGTAATTACACTATAAATAGCAAACTACATTTGAATGAGGCAATACTACTCTGTATAACGGTAGAAAATTCCGTAGAACTCTGATGCAATTATTCAAAGCGTATTTACATAGAATAGTTGGTAGTGTTCCTTGGATTCTAAAATTTATTTTTTTTGACACGTAAATGTTTTTTTAAATACTGTACTAAATTAAAAATGCGATCAATAGCTGTTGTCTATATTCCTTTGACCCCATGGTATCTTTATGATCTGCATTTATCTTAGCGAATATGTTTTCTAATAAATCGGTTTTTAAGTAAGGACACAAAGTGGCATAGCACTCTATCTTCTGAAAAACTCTATTGCGGTTCATTGTAAGATACATTTAACTCATTTAATAAAGCAACATTTTGGGTCTTCAGACTTCACGTAATGTATAAAGCAGAAATTCCCCTTTATTTTTTACTCTTGTGAACTATTAATACCATACTAAATACGTTTCATATATGTTATATCGTAAACCATAATTATTATATTTATTAAAATCGTTAAAAACCTTTTGCGTAGTCTTGAACTTCATTTGGTAACCTACCATTAACGGGGAATGTGTATGTTTAAAAATATACCAAATGATTATAATATGAGCAATACCGCTTGTTATTCTTCTCTTCTTCCCTTCTCTGTTATTATATTAACTCTGTCCGGATCTTTCGGCAAAAAGTTTTTTAAAGATGGGCGTATTATGGATTACGGAATACCTTTACCGTTGTTGTTTTATTTACATATACTGTATTCGACTTTCCACTATTATTTTATTTATTTCCAACCTTTCATTATTGCTTTATTTATTGTATATTTAACCTTTTGTCGATCGAAATATTACACAGTGTGATACTCTACTTCACCGCCGTAATATTATGAAAGCGATTTAGAATGTGGCTCACGGTTATAATTTACACAACCTAATCTTTACTAAAAAAAGAGGAAAGAAACGTTTTGAGTCCCTTAAATAATGAAATTAAGAATGACTCATCGATTTTTTCTACATCGCAAAACCTGCTACGCCTAAGATCTTTAATGACAATCATCAAATTTCATAATATGATTAGGTGCTGTATTGTACTTACATTCATTTATCTTTTCGGCCGACCGTTAAAGCGCATCCTGAATTTAGAAATCATCAATGGGTTATTCCGAAGTTATTTTTATTCTGTACGACAATTGAATATTAAAATTCCGTTTATCCATTGTTTTTATTATTATTTTGTAAATCGATTTGTGAAATGTAAAAATAGAAATCTTTAATGAAAGGTTTTTTTTTCCAAAAAGACATTCTTCAATCAGATTCAACTAGAAAGTTGATGAGAAACAAGAGATTTATTTAATCAAATAAAGCCGAATGCGCAAGGTTTTTATTCCGAATAATTCGTCCTTTACTAGCTTTTCTATTCCTTTGGTAGATCGTTTACAAGTTACGCAGATTTCGTTATTCAACCTGCTATTGCTACATACTGGATAAAATTTACTGAGAATATATAAATTGCGGAATAAATTTCAAATCCAGTAAGTGTTTTGTTGTCAACTTAAAAAATAAATACCTTCAAATTAATAAAATATTAATTTTAAAAAATTAAATAAAATATATACAATATAAATATCTTAATATTGTTACGGGGAAACGACGATCGCGCATTATAGAGGTTGTCAAAACGGGTAATCGACCCTCAACCTCGTTATTTCTTTTATTTCTTTTATTTCTTTTATTTTCTTTTACCGTAAGAAAAAGTATAAAAACGATGTAAGGAAATATAGTAGAAAGAGAGCGGAAAAATTAGTCAATAAAAGAGTGTTAAAATCGACCTACTTATCGCACTGTTCTGACCAATAAAATCCCCCA